TAAATAAAAGAAAACAAAAAATTTTATAATTTGTTCTCCACAGGAAAATAAAGAATAAGAATTTCAACATATCAGAAACTGTATATTCCATAATACATGATTTCTAATAAGTTGAAATTCTTATTCTCTGTTCCTTTTTATAATGCAAAGCACTAGTCTTTTGCAGCTTCCGAAGATGAAGGTAGTGAATGGATCGGCAATAAAAGGAATAAAAGCGAAAAAAAATACAAAAAAGGTAAAGGAATGTAAGACCGGATGATTCGGATGATTTACGGTAGGCCGATTGCTGGCGACGATGAGTCGTCATCTATGTATGGATAAAGATGCTTAATTTTTCATGCTGCCGCTCGACGCTCATTTTTAACGAGCTCATTTTAACGAAAATAGATCACGTGACGTGTCAAAATTGACGCTTGATATTTGTCAATTTTTATCATGTGATCTGCTTTGACGCTAAAAATAAGCGTCGAGCATAAAAAAGTACCTCAACTCATAGTTCACATATATTACCTCCCTCTTTAACCCTTCGTGGTCACCTGAGAATTTTATGGTCACACAGAGGATAAAATAATCTCATCATTTTAATTGATTATCATATTTACAACTTTTATTTTTTTAAATCACAAAAATGATTGAACATACTTTAAACATTGTAGAATATAGAAATGCAATGGCTTTAAAAAATGTTTAATTTTAACATATTTAACAAAATCGCAAAGATTGACGCTCCAAGGAACATGCGGTTGAAGGTGCAAAAAGCATCCTTATTTTAAACTTTGGAAGGCAAGTCCCGTTTTAAAAAGATTTTGAAAATATAAAAGCCTCACACCTTATTGGGACTCCCTTGGACTTGGAGGTGAAAGATCACGAAAGGGCGAAACGGTAATCTCACTCGCGGGTCTCGTGGATCCGACCCTGCGTGAAAATCCTTGTGAATCGCGACTCGCCCAAACGGCGCATTGCCCAGGCGCCATTGACGCCAATGACGTCACAACCCGTTCCGAGGGAGTGGAAACGCACTATTACGATACGAGTTAATACTACCGTTAATACTACTACCGGCAGTGCCGGCCATTACCGCGCGTAAACGCTTTTCGGTCTTTTGTAAGCCAACCGTGTGTGTTGCAGTATATACAGGCAATTCATCGTTCTTTCGATAAATAGTGAACACTCAAGCTGTGCAGACGGCGCTTCGGCGACTGGTGGAGCGCGCCTCTGACGGCATTCATTGGAAATATTCTATTCACTATATTACTCTACAGACGTGACAGACATATCGGTTATATGCGGGTCTTCTCCATCTACCGCGTACCTCGTGTGAGTCCTTAAGTACAACGGGTAACTATTCGAACGAAGCGCGATATAACAACTTTCGCGAAACGACACGACTCGCGAAACAAGACGGTTGCAAAATCGATGGACAGAGCAGATTGGAACAGATCGAGCTGAGGAACAAAGCCGTAGCGTGGAAGTTACGTGGAAAGACAAAGCCAAGCGTAGCGGTTCACGGCAATCTGGTCGTCCAAATCGATTTTTCGGGTACGTTTTTTTCACAGTGTATCACATTCTTTGATAACTTGGAAAAAAAAACACAAGAGAATTGCTACTTTCTCTTCCTTGTGTTTCTTTTACCATCTGTACGTCTGCATGGACGCTTGCCTGACGCTCGTGCGAGAAAGTAGTACATCCGGGACGATTGAAAAAAAGTTGAAATATTAAAATAGTCGCGAATTCGATAAGAGCAGTTGACCATGACAATTGATAAATGCCTGGAATTCGATTGCCTTGTTTGTTTACTATGTTCTCTCCCATTTACTACTCCTCTTTCCTCTCTCCTACCTTTCCCCTACCTCCCCTACCTCCCCTACCTCTTTATCGGTACCTTTTGACGCAGTGCTGCGTGGCGTCGTTTATTATCTAACGCTGGGCGGGTCTGCGAGAAGCAAACCACCATGTAACGGGAGAGAAATAATTTGTAGTCAGAAAAAGGAAAATTAGTTTGATTAATACAAGGTTTGATTAGAGTCACATTTAAAAATGTTTTCCAACAAAGAGAACGTTGGATGTTAATGATGCTATGTTACATATTCCTTGTCGGAAAATTAAAATTAGTACAAAAAACGAGCTAAAGCTAGGTGCTTGTTTAACTTTTAAAATAATTTTGTCGTGTAATAACAAACGGCTATTCTTTCTTTATTAAGTCCTTTCCATATGTTTAAACATATTCATGTATCTATTATTCAAATTCGACACAAACGTGTAATAAAACGATCAGTCGTTAAACAAATTTAAAAAAAGAATGACCGCGTTCAGCGGAAAAAAAAATTAATCGCTTAATGATTCTTTAATGTGATTGATTCTTACTTTTAGAGAGAGAGAGAGAGAGAGAGAGAGAGAGAGATCTTTGCTGGATTTAAAGGAAAGAAATGGGTTCATTCAGACAACCGCTCACTGAGCTCTCATCTGTTTGGTATATTCTATTAAATCCTACAAATAATTATCTAATTAATTGATCAGTTTTTTCTGCTGAATACGCATTAATAATTGACATTTGATATTAGAGGAAACCTTTAGAGAAAGTGAATAATTTGCAACTGATGAAGGTGTTTTGCTTTTTGCATATTTGAATTAGATTTGAATATTTTCAGCTAAATTCCTTATGAACTTAATCTAATCTCGATCAGCTTACATAAAGAATAACAAACGAGAGAGAGATATAGTTGCAACAAACCGATTACAATTTTCAAAATTTCTATCAAAATTGATTAATAATTCTTTTGCGTACGAAAATAAGATGTTGCAATACAAAATGGTAAAAACCATCTGATAAACACAGAATTTCAATCAGATATGAAATTCAAATAGATGACAAAACATAAAATTTAAAACATAATAGCTGTTATTTGTTTAGAATATAATAGATGTTCTTTGTTGCTCCGCAGTCTATTATTGTACTTATTGTTAACGCACCTAATGAAATAGACAATGCAGGATGTCCCAGAGGCGTGAAGAGGATTTTACAAAAAATGACTTTATAAAAAAATAAATAAAAAATATCGAATAAAACTGTTTTATACAAAGCTTTCTTTTCCAAATAGAATAATAGTCGTTAAATGTGTGTATTTATAAACATTGCGTAAAAGGACACTTCGGGATACACAATAAAACAAAATGATTAAAAAAAATATGTATCGAAGTTTTATTCTACATTTTCGACTTATTTTTCATATAGAATCACTTTTTCCACCATCAGTTGTGTGGGACATTTTGTAATTAGATATTAAAGAGAAAAAGAGAAAACAAAAAATTTATGTATATAGAATAAAAATTTAAAAAATTTAATATAGAATAATTACAGATTCATTTCAACAATTTATCAAAATTTAATTCAAAAGTCCGTATGTGATGGAATATAGAATATCTCAGATATCTATTTTCTTTTCCCTTTTCTACCTGCTTCTATAACGACCTTCAACATAAGGTTTTGGAACCTTTTAAAGGATTGTATTTTTCTCTATCTTTTTTGGTTCTCTATCTTTTTTTTTTCCTCTCTTAATGAGAATATTGACCTTTTGTTATTTGAATAGATCCAAGGAAGTAAAAGGGATATATTTTCTTTCATCCAGACAAAAAGTACTACTAACTACTACTAGTAGTAACTACTAGCTAACTACTACTAAGCTACATTCCAACATTCCTCTCCAAAGATTTTATTCTACATGCTATAGTATACGTTACGTGCATTATATAATTTCGAATAAAATTTTTCTCAAGAGGAAATTTTGAGAGAAACATAGCCTAAATAGAATTTACGCGAATAATGACAGTACTTTGACCTCTGTGGGTATCTTGGTATCTTGTAATATTTTCAAAAGAAGTAGCTGAGCGTTAGACTGTGGCTTTGTGGCTCCTAAGAACTTCTATTGCTTCACACGGACAATGTATTTCTGAATCAAATTACTGTCTTATTCTATATCCGAGAGGATAAGATAATGTGAGTTATCGTATTTAGATTGTCTATATTTCTTTTGATAAGTCGTTTATCATTATTGGGGAATCTTTAATAGGAGATATGGCATTTAATACCGTCTAGATCATTCACTTTCCATATATTATCTTCGAGATGTACGGGAGGTTTATTCCTAATTTCGTTGATGTTTGTTAGCTGATCGCAGTTAATTCTGCTAAGCATTGCCTGAATTAAGAACTTATATGATATGATTTCTTTGAATTCATTCAGACATAAAATTAAAAATAAGTTTTTCGTATTTTCTGTATCTCTTGAATCTCAGATATCTCAGATATTTTTATATTTCACGGAAAAAAAAAACGATTTTGCTAAAGTATCTAAGAATTTAGATACAGATCTGAAAATAATTTTGTTGGATCATTATAATTTAACGAGGGCCTAAATTCAGACCTGATTTTGTTAGAACCATATTAAAAAATTATTTGATTCAATTCACGCGCACTTTAATAAATAATTCGTACAGAACAATTAATCTTTTTTTCAAAATTTTTGACTGTTTTTCCAACATATACATTATTACACCGAGAAAAAAATAGTCAGTTTTAATAAATATATTTAATATTTAATTCAATACTGCCAACTAATTACTTTACTTACAGTAAATAAATATTTGTTCAGTAAAAAAAAGTAATTGTTAAATTAAATTAAACATTTCTTGTATCAAATAAATATATCTTTATATTTGGCAGTATATTCAACTAAATATTTATTAAAATTGGCTATATTTGTTTTCAATGTATATAAGTACATAGATTAGATCTCAGACGATGTCGATAGAATTAAATAATTTCAACAAATAAACAAATTTTAAAATTTGATGTACGTTACAATGTATACATAGTTTGAAAGATTAAACCAACGGAGCTTAACCAATGTTTAGAATCGGACCTTTCAATCGTACGACTAACATACCTAACTTAAACCTACTTTAAGCAACGTTGCCAGTTCTCTCGCAGCTGGAGATAATAAAAGAAGACGCCAACGTCTAAAGGAGGTTTTGCGCTGATGTCATTGTAATTCTCTGAAGTCGGAACGATAAATGTCTCCTCGGTATAGCATGTACGTTGGCATCAATGTGTCATTTTGCGATTACACGAAATATTGCAAAACAAACGTGTGGACTTTGTGCATTTATTCCCAGATTTATTCGCCGATTGATTCATAATGACTGATTTCAGCAAAATTAGTAAAGAAACGATGATACGAATAAAATGAGAGGAAATTTTTGTGGAAAAGAAAGAATAGAATTCCCAAATAGAACCTCAAGATTAAAAACTGAATAGCAAATAATGATTATTATTGTGTCTAATTCAAAGCGATTAGTTAGTTGAAACCAAAGAATAAAGAAAGGAATCCGTGAAGACTAATCGATTCTTAATATCTCAATAGATAATTGCATTCTAAATTATGACTGTTGAGAGTTTCGTAACGACACCCTATATATCGCCATAGCAACGGATCAATTCTAAGCAGAATAAGTACTCGCAGCAAGATATGTTCTTGTAAAAATTTGTAAATTGAAGATTCGAATTCGAATCAATTAGAACAAAACGAATTAAAATTAAAATTATCAGATTGGTCGAATTCTAATCTTCAATTCGCAATCCTCAGTCTTCGATGCAGTGTGATACAGACATGCGTCTACGTTGCAAGGCCATTTTTGCTGAAAAACCCGCCAACGTATGACGCGCCTCGGCTGCAACAAATAAGGAGAGAAAAGACGTTCCCTACAGCGACAGTGGCGAGACAGATTGTATGTTAACAAAAGGTTAAGTATTAACCTATACAAAATACAATTTTATGGTACCATGAGACATTTCCTGTCGCCAGATATCCTGTAGAGCAATGGTCAGCTCTTTCTCTTTCTCGAGTAGGGTGTTATAGCATTCCACAAGATCAATTGCCGTTTCTGCGATGAATCAGTCGCTGCGGTAGCCTTAGAAGCTACTTAGTAAGCTACTTTTCAACTTTCCAAATTTTCCGATTTCGATCAATCCTGATTTATCAATTAGACTCTAGACCTTGAGACTCTCCTGGCTCCATCGACTGCAAACTATCGATTCATTATCTATCTGGATTTGTGGAATGTTGCTACAGAATCCAACTTAAGATCCAGCAGGACATAGTTTTATTAGGCTCTCCCTAATAAAAACTATGTCCGTTGCAACACAGGCTGTACTTATTTCGTGTGACTAAATACTTTGAATTGTCGAGATTTTTTAACGAGAGAATTTACAAAATAATTCTCAAATATTTTCAACTTGCCGATTTGAAGTTTCTAATGTACTAAGCACCACTAAGTATCACTAAGTGATTTTGATTTATGAGAAATTAGGAGAAATAGAAAAAAATTTGAAGATATTTCTCTCGCTGTCCCAAAAAGAAGCAGGTTCCTCGAAATGGAATGAAGACCGGGGCACGTTCGTTGCCTGCAGACGGTCCTACCGTTACAATTCACTTCGTGGAGAGAATAACGCATCGCGTTCCTGTGTAATGTAATAAGACGAACAGAAATAGAGGTCGCGTTAGCGGCAACGTTGCATGTACCGGGTGTCGCAGCTGATAGCTGTAAGTCTTCCGAACGCATTGCTAGTTTATGAGGAAGTCGACTTTCTTATTGATATCAATGACTTTGTGGCTAGATTACATTCGCTATAATGTATGCAAAAATAATTAATGCATGAATTTACACGTATATACTTATATAGGAGACTTAGGCATATTTTTCCCGTTTAAAATATCGATTCAAGCATATCACGATTATTGCTTCGAAAATCTGATTATTATATATTTATCTGATTATATTATATTTTATTAATATTCGCGTGAAATTTAAAAAATAGTATGTTCCAGCAATTATTTTAAAGAAATTAAAGAAGAAATTTTGCGCTTATTTTAATAAAAAAGAAATATAGAATATTATCAATATCTTAATTTTAATTGTAATTTTAGTTGTAAATCATCAAAGAGAACAATGAAAATTGAGGTTGGGGTATAAATCTCCCATGCAAGTAATTACTTTTAAAAAATGTACAGTTAATTATTTGTATTCTTCATTATTGTTATATATTATAATTATTTGTATTATCACTATTCAACATTGATATATTAAATTACAAAATCCATCTCGATGTATTTCCAGACGTTGGTATTTCTTGTGTGTTCAACAGATGCGAATATTTAAACAGGAAGCACGTACCTCGAAGGTATTTTATACCTGGTATGCTTCTTTTAAAGCTTCAAAATTAATGCCTCTAGCCTTTTATACTTTTTATTTTATACAGAAAGGAAAATGAAAGAGATAAGAAAAATATTTCAAATATTGCCTGTGATGTTCAGACTATAATAGTTTTTAAATATCACACGGGATGTTTTAAAAAGTGTAATATCGCTCGTGGACAACAAGAAGCTTAAATCAAATAGAAAAATCCTTTACCATTTTACAGTTTTCGTAATAATTAATGAAATTAATTAAATGCCTGCTAATAAGTCAACTATCCACAATATACTAGTAGTGGTAACAAATTCAATCAGAAATAGTTAGTAAATTGACACAAAAAATACTCGTATTAACATATTGCTATTTTTTTTCCAATATAATTTAATATTAACAAGTATCGGGTAAAAGCGCGGCTTTTACTGTATTTTTATCAACATTTTGTCCCAAATTGTATACAAGTATGAAGTAAAATTGTTAATGAATTTTTATTATATAAAATTTTAGCATCTATTGACATTTATTTATTTTTTTACAGGTTCACACGAAGCAGCTTCATAATTATATTACAAAAATGACCGAATATATCGAGCAATATATCTTTCCTCGAAACCACCCTTTGCAACGAAAATCACCAATAAAGTCTCATATATGGATAGAACAAGACGAAGTTGATAATAATGGACCATCGATGTCTATAGATTATCGATTTGAAGCTGCTCGTTTGGCCAGCTTTAATAACTGGCCAAGTTCGTGGACAAAGCCAGAGGAACTCGCGGCGGCTGGATTTTTTTATACTGGCGAAAGCGACAAAGTGAAATGTTTCGAATGTAATATAGAAATATGCCAATGGCGGGAAGAAGACAATCCAATGGTTGATCATCAGCGTTGGTCTGGAAAATGTAGGTTTATTCGTAAAATTCCATGCGGCAATGTGCCGATCGGTACGGATCCTAGCGCAATTCCAGCGCCTGTGCCTAAAGGAGCGGATGTATGTGGACCTTATGGTTCAATATACATGCCTTTTTCCGGTCCAGATCATGAAATTGAAGAAAGAATGAATTCATTGAAAGAGCTCACATCAAGACCGAAGCATCCCGAATACGCTAGTTATGCTGCTAGATTAACGTCGTATGATAGATGGCCTAAAGCAATGTCACAAACTAAAGAAGAACTAGCAACTGCTGGTTTCTATTACACTGGAAGTGGCGATCAAACATTATGTTATCATTGCGGTGGAGGATTAAGGGATTGGGAGCCAAATGATGATCCTTGGGTGGAACATGCCAAATGGTTCGAATACTGTCCTTATCTAGTTTTGACTAAAGGAATAGAGTTTGTGAGCAACATTACGGGGAGAACGTATCTCGGAGCAGTAAGTATTAAAATATATTTATTTTTAATATCTATTAACAATAAATATATTTTATTTATTTTATAATAAATATTTTAATTATGAAATTGTGTTGAATGCAATAATAATTAATTCTAAATTGTTTTATTTTTTCGCGTAGGAAAACATACCAACTGCAGTTAATAAATTGAATGAAAAATTAGAGAAAGCTGATAGTGAGAATACTGCCAGCGGAAGTTCTCAAAATTCAATCAATTCTGAAATAACTAATAATAAAACAGAAGCAAGTGCTGTATCAGGTGAAGCTAAAAGCGAGGAACAATCTGTCCAATCACAGGGTGACAAACCATGCGACAAGGATGCAAGATTATGTAAAATTTGCTATAGTAGAGAAGTACGGATTGTATTTATGCCATGCGGACATTTATTGGCGTGTGCAGAGTGTGCGAAAAATATGAAAATATGCGGCGTATGTCGTAAGAATGTTGAACTTACTGTACAAGTGTACATCTCATAGTGTCTTTATCTTTGTGATAAATAATCGGATTCTGATAAAATTTTCTACTTATCATCATTATAAAGACTGACATTTTCAAGCAAAAAAACTAAACGACTTGACTCATGTAGTATACCGATTAGCAGGTACAAACTATACAACGTTGAAACTCTTGTTAATGAAATATTAACTTTTCACGGTTATTATGGTCTCAATAGAAAGGATATTCTGTTGTAATATTAACAAGTAAATGTACTTTTTGTAATCGTTGTACAAGTAATAAATGTTCCTATATTTAAATATATATATATTATAAGTATATATATATAAGTACATATATATATATATATACTACGTAATCGGTATTGCAAAAATTGTTAATCGATGTATACATATGTGGCATATCAAGTTTTCATATTTTAATAGCGCAAATACAAGAAGTTGTTAAAATCAGAAGAAATAGATTGTACCTGCAACGGAACGTTGCTATTTGAACGTTTTCGAATTTATATTGTTTCCTAATGCGACATTTGCC